CTCAAAATTTTACATGATTAAAAAAAAATTTCGAATTGGAGTTTTTTCGTTTTTTGGATTTCCTGTGAAAATTTGCCATAGTAATGTATACTTTTCTTTACACCATCAAAAACTAGATATTTCAACGAACAAAAAGCACACGGATTTTTTTCAAAAAGCAAACATTTTGACGTGAGAATTTTCGATTGAAAATTAGGGTGGTTTTTCGATATTAAATCAAAATAAGGGAGAAAAATAAATATTTTGAATCAAAAAAATTACAGTGAGTTTGGGACATAAATAGGTAAGTTTTCACCACATTTCGCGAAAAAATTTTTTTTTTTGTGTGAGATAAAAATAAAAATCCAAAAACTCGGTTATTTGCATTTTTCGCATAAATTTTGAGGTTATGCAAAAAAAGTCTAAATACAAAAGTTGTAGATCTTTCTATTACCTAGAACTTTGCCATTTAACTTTTTTCGATAGGACTTGTAGTTTTGTCGGAAATCGTGATAAACCGTTTTCTACCCTTAAAAGCTCACCCTCTTCCACTTCCCGACCTCAGATCGCCCGTTAATTATTTTTCCTTTTATTTTTGTTATATTTTCTTTCTTTTGCAATGGGTATCATTCTGTTCTAATTTTTTTTGTGCTCAAAAATTATCGGCACTGGCCTATTAGGTTAGATTAATCAGAATTCTAGAAAGTCAGAATCATAATTTCGCAATCGGCATTTAGCAATAATACATAGTCACAACTATCGGCTGTGTTTTAAACGAAATACACCACAATCAACAAAAGACACGCAAAAATTAATTTATAATTAATTACTTATTATTAATTACTTCTTTCATAAACTTCACGCCTCTCTTTAAAGCTGGCTTATAATTGGGTTCCTGTTAGCCAACTTAATCTTAATAATAATAATAAGAAAATATACATTACTTTCTTATAAGCAATATTTAAAGAGACGTAACTTCGGAAACAGTTATTCAATATCCAGGACTCTCTCTGATCCAAAAATTGCATATTAAACCTTTGACACGTTGTTAAAAACGGCTTATTGAGCAAAGAAAAAATAATTTGGAAAATCCTCGGGCCCAAATGTAGAAAACGTAGCCTCCAAAGTTTAATTTTTCTATTAGATAATGGATATGTCATTATTGTGGAAGAATGTCTTTGTCAATAGTTTTCTTTAATTGTTAAAAATGATTGTGACAACAGTGGCTAATTTTTTTTGTCTAAATGATTATTTTGTTACTTCTCGAGCGTAAGCAACCGACTCCCTACTTTTACGTTTTTTCCACCTCTCATGACCTCTACAGTACGAAGAAATAGGTCTTCTGTTTCCATCTGTCTGTCTGTCCGTCTGTCCTTCTGTATGCGGTCCCGGATTTTTATTAAACAAATAATCTCCGAAAGAACTGGGTTAATTGTTGTCAAATTTTGTATTTATAATAGTGCTAAAACGCTAATAAAAATTTGTCTAATCATCCTCACCAATAATGTAATGACGTCATTTCAAAATTGTGCATAATAAATGGGTTTTAAATTCTGTTAAGCGTCAGCTCAAAAGTTTGCGGAATAAATACTAAAATGTTTATCATTTAGAGAAATTTTTGGAATTATATCATTATAGGTGATCAGAAATATTTTGGTTATGGTCTTACCATTTGCACGATATTCTTGAAAAAAATTTAAATTTCTTAACTATCAGTTCAGGAGTTTCAGAAATTACTTATCTATATTGTAACCAACAGACGATAAATGACTTGACCTGACCTAACCGACTACGGGGTCTTCGGAGATCTACTTAAATAGTTTTCCATATTTGAGGAACGTGAGAAAACATGAAGTCGGCCATTTTGTAAACGTAGTTTGTAGAATAATTTCATTGTTTAGTCAATTGTGAGTTAATTTTACAAAGTTTGGTCCAATCCGTTAACTGCAAGTTGACAAGGGAAATCCAGCTGAAACAAGAGGAGTAAGAAGTAAAATAGAAAATTCTCATAACGATGCAAATTAGCTTTAAACTTAGGCATTTTTTCTGATTTGTTGGACTTTGTTTCATAGTCACATTTAATATTTAAAAATACATGGTCATAGTAACAAGGCATTACTCCACTTATTCTGTTAAAATCTATAGAAATTCATCGTGACTTTCGTTTTATAAATGTAAATGTACAGATATTACCAAAAAGATACTCAAGTCTTGTATTTATTAACAAAATGTCAAAGGCAGATACGGCAATGCATAAGAATATTTTAAAATTTAAATGCTGTTTTAGTTGTTTTTAAAACTATATCTACGTACAAATTATGCATATAAGAGTACATGCGACTTGAGAAAATGGCTTTTGTTTATTCCGAAGGAAATGTGCTTTTGTGCACAAAATAAATTTCTTCTGACAAATATAATTCAAGACTACTTTGTATGTAGAAATAATAATGATAATAAAAGTTGCTAACCTGTGAACCATATTTTTAAAATCTGTTCTGTTAAATGATTGCTTCCAACAGAAGAAATTGTAAACGTTGCTCGATTACAAGAAATATTTTTACTAATAAATTCCTCACTTACTTAACATTTTATTGATGCTGGTTTCGAAATTTTTGTATGGTTAATAATGTTCAATAACAGCTACTAGATTGTTTTTAATACATCGTGAACTTAAAAGTGAGCTTTTTGCTTCTATACAACAAATTACACTTACTAGCAATTTATGGATTTTATACGCATAATAATTGCATACAAACTACATGAAGGAAAGAAAATCTGTATGTACTTAAATAAAATTAAAGTATAAACCGCATTCCTTATTTTTTAATCTTACGCCTAGTTTTAATTTTATATTTTACTAGCTGTTACCCGCAGCTTTGCTTGCGTGGATTTCGCAATTAGGACACATTATTTTTCATCTCCTTATTTATTTGTTGATTTAATAATAATAACAATATATGTATAAAAGTTTTTGTCCTGTCCTGCTGACTGATTCATCAACATAACTACTGGAGGTATAAACATGAAATTTGGACAAAAGGTTTCTTTCGTAATGTGAAACAAAACTATTCTAACAAAAATATAATATAATAGTAACTATACTTAATACATATATTCTATTTATTTCAACCCAATTACGGAAATAAAAAATTATAACAAAGAACAAAATTAATTTGTTACTAATAAAGTACTTCTTTGTATACCACATTCGTCGTAAGCGTTCCATGTGCTAGAATTACCAGACGACTCGCGGCACTCACTCTGGAACAGGCCACATAGAACTGTCCATGAGAAAAACAGTCTTCCATCAGGTCTATTCCGGCCATTTTCAATGTTTGACCTTGTGCTTTATTGATAGTTATTGCGAAGCAGACCTTCAGGGGGAACTGCAACCTTTTGAATTCAAATGGGTATTCTGACAGTATTAAAGGTATTCGTGGTATGAATACCTTTTCCCCTTGAGCACATCCCGTGATTATCGTGGCCTCTACAACATTCCGGTGGAGAGCCGTTATTTGCAATCTGGTGCCATTGCATAACTTTGGAGGGTTCAGGTTCCTTAATAGCATAACTGGTGCGCCAATCTTAAGTGTGAGATTATGAGAGGGAAGACCAGCTGGGTTAAGCGTATTTAAAAACTCGACTGGATAATTTATAGCATCATCAGTTTGTACTACCGAATCCACGGATTTATATTGAATTTCTTCTCCTTCAAATGATTTTAAAAAAGATCGTTAATACCAGCCGCTCTATCATTTTTGGGAGTCAAAATAGCACGTTCGCATAACCAGTCTATGGGTTTTGCCTTGAGATTGATGATGACGCGGTAAATTTTGTTGTTTAGTTCTGTAAGAGATTCTACTACCGTAGCCAAAGTTGGTGGTATAATAATCTTACCATCAACTGTAGGGCAATTTCCATCTCCTATTTGAAGCACAGTCTGTGCAAACTCAACAACGGTAGCATCATCTCCTAAAAGTACTCTCATATTTGTCTTTAAGGCGAGCTTCTTAATTTGGGGCCACAAATACGATGATTTTAAACATGACCTCACTTCATCGGCTCGTGTTCCCCTTGGTACGACGGGTAAGGTTTGTCGAAAGTCTCCAGCTAAGAGAACCGTAACGCCGCCCATCAAACTACCATTTTCTCTTATATTTCGCTGAGTTTTACTGAGAGCTTCTACGCATCCTTTATGCGCCATAGTGCATTCATCCCATACTATAAGTTTTGTTTCTTTCAAGACTTGCGCCATATTGCTCTGCTTTGAAATGTTGCACAGAGGTGTCTCTACACGCATTAGATTTAAGGGTAATTTAAAAGCAGAATGCGCTGTTTTACCGCCATCCAGCAACGTGGCTGCTATGCCAGAAGAAGCAACTGCCAAAGCTATCCCGCCATTTTTTCGTACTTTAGCCAGTAATAATTTTAAAAGAAACGTTTTACTCGTGCCTCCAGGAGCATCCAAAAAGAATACTTGACCAGTGCCATTCTCGATACTATCTAAAACTTGGTTGTAAATTTGATATTGTTCTGTATTTAATAAACTTTCGTTGTTGGATACTACTTGAGCCAATAAAAGTGTGTCATAGCTAATCTCTATGAGATAGTCTCTGTTTTGTATGACTTCTTCACGTCTTATAGGCTGAGGCAAACCATAATACTCTAAACATTGTCCTCCTAAAGATAAAACCGTATCTTCAATGGAAATCAGACACTTGTTGTACACTTCATTCATAATCTGTCTTGACACTCTGACTGCACTTGACGTTTTATGTCCTCCGACAGACTGTTTTTATATTTCTCCCATATACTTAAAGCGTCTGTTACTTTGCAAAATATCAACAAAATTGAGAACAGGTCTCGTAGCTTAAAAGGAGAATCAGTAAGAGCAGCTTCTTCCATTGTAGCATTCCACTGCTTGTCATCTTCTAGCAAACCCAAAAATTTACATGATGACTGGTATGTGGGATAAACGACACCATCAATAGTTTTTAAATCCGAGAATGATGTTGGCCCTCTCACTTGATGAAGAAGAAGACGAAGGTAGTAACATTCGGCGTTATTAGGGTGGACGGTGTACACTCTGCCCAAAGCTTGATTTTTTTGACTCCCGGCCAACCATCAACATTGTTTCCACGTTTTCGTCTCTCAAATTTAGTACTTTTCCACACATAGTATGAAGGGACTTCAACATAGAGAAGAGTTTTTGCAAAATTATCCGTTTTGCAAAGGTCAAAAAATGCTAGAAGAGTAGTTTTCTGTGGATTATTTACCTTTTCAGTCACATTATTGAAGTCGTTAGGATTAAAATAGACACGCTGGCCATTTTCCAAGTGCACTGCGAGATGAAAAACAGCTGGAAATCTTTCATGTATAGGAAAGGCCAGGATTCTCCAAACAGCTTCAGAGCTGCTAATATATCGACCACTTTCATATAATTTGACCTCATCATTGTCATTTTCAAGACCAAATGAGGCTTGGTCGGATCCTTTATTGACGTATTTGCATATATACTTAATAGATTTTACAGAGTTACAATACTCGATGTTGATGTGAGCAGCAAAAGTTCGAGACAAAACTGGATTATACGGTACCACCCATCTATTATCTAAGGTTACACCATGGATTTCAACCGTGAATCCACCATCCGCGGGACCTCTTCGCCGATATTTAGGGTAGCCGTCGTCGCCTGTTTGGGTTTCTTTCAGGAGAATTCGAGGATATTTTTTGCTACAGCAACCTCCTTTCATACACGGGGATTTCCTCAAATTTCCGCAGGGCCCATGGATCATATTGGCTTTGATAATTTTATAAAGGATAGGATCCTTTTGAGGATCCGGTATCTCCGCACAGATAACATTATCTGTATTAACCGCAGAAATTCGCTGCTCCAACCACAACAAAATGTGGATGTGTGGAAGACCTCGCTTCTGCCATTCAACGGAATACATAAAGCAACGCACTTTTCCAAACAAATTTCCTTTTCTTAGCAGTGACATAATTGCTTTAACTTTTAAATGAAATTCCCGTGCTATAATGTCATGACGATCGTGTGGCTTTTGACCATGCAGCAATGCATCTGCAATATCTTTCCATTGAGGATTGCATGTAAATGTGATGAAAAGGTTAGGCCTACCGTAATGGCGTACGTAGGTCATTGCATCTTGAGTTCTTTCATGCATATATCGAGGTGATCCAGTAAACGATGAAGGGAGTACCACCCTATTACCAAGTTGAGTAATATCGGTGTCCTGCCTTCCTATCGCATCTTTCAAATGTACATAACTATCTGCTCTGAGGTATGCTTGGTTGTACCTGATATAATTCAATCTTTCCGTTTCTATTTTCGCATACATATCAACTAAATATTGACTAAAAAGGGTACGATAGTATAACAATCGATTTTCGTCTTCTTCTCTGACCATGATGCGATATGAATAAAAATTTAGCGCCGATATGGTTTTTTGAAGAGGTGTTTTTGTTTTAGGATCATATTGCGGTATGTTAATAGACTAACCATCCTCACCATAACAAAATAGGAGTGGGTATTGCAGGACGTCATATGAGCGGTGTAACTCGCTGATCCGATGCAATTTGTTATCGTGATTTTGTAAAACGATATCTCGCTTATCGAACTGCTGTCCGACTATGACCAGAGCAACTTCACTCGTTGTCTGTGCATTATAACGGCCTGTGTGAGCATTGGCTGGTTTTCTATCAGCGTGAATAACGACTTCAAATTTTTCACAATCTTCGGGTACTTTTTGAAGAGTTGTTTTCAGGTCCCTTATATATGAATTTTTCTCGTGCAACATCGCTTGCAGTTGTTTGACCAGATTTGGTTTCATACCAGAGAAATTGCTGCATCTCAAATTTACCTCTCTCTCGTCTTTACCAATGAAGTAAATTTGAAGAAATTGAGGTTCTTGTTGGGGCAAGGGTAATAAGCTACCAACCAAATGATAAATCTGTCCCTGTACTTTAAACGTGGGCATAAAACCATCTTCTATTATTTTCTTAGCTCCAAAGGACGTCATCTGAAAGCAACTGTTATACCTACTTTCTAATACCATCCATAAAATGAACCTGCTCTGGATGAAGACCCATAATCAAGCTGTGAAGAGGCTCTGACAAGGGTTTAAATGTTGGAAGTTGCACTTTACCACCGGCGCAACACATGCCAGGAGCTTCTTCTTTCCACTCATAAACAAGACAATGTATGCATTTGTGATTCATAGCACCTAGGGCAACAGTTTTATCAGTTTCATAAGCTAATTTAAGATCATACATCATTCCAGACAAAGCTTTAACTTTCCACGGAAGCAATCGCCTTTCTGATCGTTTTCCTGGATTATTCCTTTTATGCCTAAAAACACTTGCTCTATGAACATCTGGATTATTTTGCTGGTAAGTCATCACTGCAGCGCGGTGAGCCTCTGGATTTTTCCGTTGATAAACCATGACAGCCTTACGATGAACATCCGGATTACGTTGCATGTACTTGATAGCGGCATCTTTGAGCTGTTTTTTTCTAGTTGCGTCGGTAAATCTAGCCCGGTGGTGCTTCTTTTTTTCAGTATCATTTTGAGAAATGAAGCTTGGAATTAATTGATCCTCAGAAGATTGATAAAGGTCGAAATGCCCATTAGAAAGATCGTGCGAAGTACTAAAACCTATTTATATCACGACTAAGACGCAATTTACATACGGGATTTTCTTCTATGCCGAATTTTTTATACAACTTTCCGTTATAATAAACCTCAAATACATATGGAAATATTTGTCCAGAAGCCACTAATTCGCACAAACCGCCATAAGTATAGGACTGTGACATTTCGGCAAGGTAATCAGCAGCACTGTTAAAATTATTTCCATCTCTGTCGTGGGATAGGATGGAAAACTCATCCCAACGCTCTACTACGTGTGTTACTATTATCTCCCGCACCTCCCGAGCCATAACTTCAATGCCATATAACAGGTATGATATTGCTCGGAATAAGCAAGCTCCATCGCCAATAATCGGTACGACAGTATGTGGTACCATTGCACCGTTTATGTTTAAGATTTCTACAACCATATCGGAAATATTTTGACAATTCGTGACATAAAACACAACCGTCAACGCCGTTTGGCCTCACGCGTCCGACCGCAGACCGCGTTCGCGTCGCAGTCGCTTACTCGGTGACGTCGCGGCCTCTCTATTTCCATACAACTTCTTAAATTTTAAAAGCTTAAGACTGATTTTTCCAATAACCCTACCACGTACAACTGAAATACGCTTTACATTATTTGTGTTGAACAGCATTAATATCAAGTTCCACGCAAAAATTTACAATAGAAATATTTTTCCCATACACAATTATACACCGCTTTTCACCCCCTTAGGGGTTGAATCTCGGAAAATGCTGAAATACGTGTTTCGTTATCTGTATTGAAGAGCATTAATACCAAGTTTCACGTAAATATTTACAACAGAAATGGTTAGGAAATAGTCTTCCTGTACAAACTTTACCACCGCTTTTCACCCTTGTAGGGGTGGAATTTCCCAAGTTCCTTTCTTAGTGGGTGTTTACATCACAAAAGGAAACTATTGTCCAAATTTCATGTTTCTAGCTGCAGTAGTTTAGGCTCTGCGTTGATGAATCAGTCAGTCAGGACAAACAATTTTATATGTATAGATAAAGAATTCAGGCTCTGAAATATGTGATATCTGATCTCATCTTACTACTCTTTATACCGGAAGGAATTTTCAGAGCAATCTTACGCTGTTTCCTGAAGACATGGAAACCAAAATCCCCGTATTCGCAATATTTTTGTATTCATAGTTACAGCGGATAGAAGAGATGTGAGTTCTATACTTTCCTTGCATAATACTACCTTTCTCCTTGCTTTTCGTATACGTTTTAGAATATTATTTAAATTTTAGCGACCACATTCCTCCCGACGTCCTTTTTTGTTCGCTATTTCGTGAAAACACTGGTATCATAATTGAGGATTCAGTAATAAAAAACACTGGGGTATTCAGTGAGCGGTTTCGTCGAGAATGACGTGAAAGAAGACTTTACTACTTAATTAATGCAAACATTTTTAATTAAAACAAAAGTTTAGCCTTCACATGTAGACCCTTCCATGTGTTACAGTTTATCAAACTGTAATTTCATGCTTAATTCATCAAGTAATTTCATAGATGCGTAGCAGAGATGTGGGCGTTATCATGCATCATGTTATTCAGATATTATCATTGTCGCGTGTTAATAGAGTTTACTAATGCAACTAATGATCGATCACGAAATGTCATTTATATCGTGAATAGAGTCCCGATCTAATTACTCGATTTATGGCCGAATCCAGAGCCAGCAGCAAGTCCTCTCGACCCTTCTGTGCCTGGCAAACAGTGTTATAAATGTGAGAAATCGATGATTTGCCGATAGCTACAACGATAATTGCAGTAATTTATGGGGTACCATATCTAAATGTGTAAGTTATGTTTGTTACGAACGTACACAATTCCCTCGTTCCACCGTATTTACTGGATTTACCAAGAAGTCACGTAAATAAGTTTTAATTAATGTGCAGGTGTTGATGTGACTATTTAATTAATTGATGTTCGAGGATACGATAAAGTGTACGTTTAAACACTGAAACGTAGAAATGTTTTGGAATAATAATTGTGTTGTTAACATCCCCCCGTATTGCACGTTTTACCAATGAGATATTAATAAAAGGGTCTCAAATAAATTGCGTATTTTACATTCTTCACACACATGTGGTGTGGTTCTAATTACGATTTTGTGGTTTTCATTTTCAATTTGGAAATACAAACATGTCATTGTCGTTTATGTTTTCTTTATTCTTTGTACCACGTGCTTGTATACTCGCCAACAAAGTTATTAGTTCAACGTAATGAGATGAGAACGAAATTGGTCTACATCCACGTTATCCCCGTATTCACCAATAAATACACATTTATTAATTTTTTTGTGGGGATAAAAATTTTAATTTTAACTGATGCAACGTAAACATCATAACTTTATTTGGTTCTGTGAATTCTAGTAAAGTTAAATGGATCGTTAAAATAAAATAGGTCGACGGTGACTGAAAAAATTAAAATCATTTAAATTATTTGTGTGCGAGCCATCGTAAAAATTTAAACGAAATTACGAAAATACTGGCAAGACCTTTAATTAAAAAGTTTCGTTTATAATGATATTCTTTTTACATTTTTATACAGAATGTTGATCAAGTTAGTCACAAAATTTATAATTTTGTTAGTTGATATTTTCTTGAAAAATTAGTAATTAAGTATGTATTATCAAACAGGTTCAATTCAATCTTTTAAAATGACGCTTTTTAGCGTAAAAAATGATCAATTTTTCATCTGTCGTCACACCGAAGGGTGGAGCTTAATTATGGTGAAATCATGTTTCTATACCAAAATTTACCATTTTAAACATGTTTTAAGTATGTAATTGTGTTATAATTATTTTTGACATTTGACACATATTTCTTCGTATAGTGTTGTTGAAAGAAAGCTAACATATGTTAAGGACAAAAACAGAACAAAGATTAAGCCCCACCCACCCGCCCTAATCTCAGTTGTGATGAATTTTTCATTCGTTGTCAAGCCGAGGGCGGAGCTTAAATACAAAATTCGTACTTCTGTACAAGGAATTACGAAAACATATTTTAAGTATTATCACATTCTTGGAAAATATGCCATTTTAAGGAAAAGGGGACTATGTAACTCCTCCCATTTATGACAACAACACGATACTTAACCATATGTTTCAAAATGATAATTACGTATAGGAAAACCAGGATTGGGCAATTAAGCCCTACCTCCGGGCTCATGGCGATTGAAAAGAAAGTACCACAATTGAATTAGGGGCGGGTGGGCGGAGTTTATATTTTCCTTTGTTTCTTAATTAACCCTGCATATATTAAGGAAAAACAGCGAAAAGATTAAGCCCCACCCGCCCGCCCTAATCTTAGTTGTGATGAATTTTTCATTCGTTGTGAAGCCGAGGGCGGAGCTTAAATACAAAGTTCATATTTCTGTACAAGGAATTACTTTAAACATATTTTAAGTATTATCATATTCTTGCAAAACATATCATTTTAAGAAAAAGGGGACTACGTATCTCCTCCCACTTATGACAACAACACAATACTTAAACATATGTTTCATAAGATAATTTCTTGGAGAAAATTCAGGACTTTGCAATTAAGCCCCGCCCCCGGGTTCATGTCGATTCAAAAGAAAAAAAACACCACTATTGAAATGGGGCGGGTGGGCGGGGTAAATTTTTGGCCTCTTTTTTTCCTTAATTAAACCTGCATATATTAAGTAAAAAAAAGGGCAAAGATTAAGCCCCACCCACCCGCCCTAATCTCAGTTGTAATGAATTTTTCATTCGTTGTCAAG